GGTCTGGACGTGTCTCACGTACTACGTCATTGGATACGCTCCCGAGGCCGGGAGGTTAGTCGACTTGCGCTGGTTTCGAGCAGATATATATATTTGGTGTTTTTTGTTTATTTGTAACTTTTTATTTTATTTATATTTTTTAGGTTTTTCCGCCAGATGTTGATGGTATTTCTGGTGCACTTCACAACAACGTCGATGTTCCGTTTCTTGGCGACAGTATTCCGGAGTGATGTTGCGGCATCGACAGCTGGCAGCATGTCATTGTTGTTTGCTATGATGTTCAGTGGCTTTCTCATCCCTAAACGTACGTCAGTCAGTTTTTCGTGTCTGATCATTTTAATCCATCTGCATGTTATGTGATCATATCAACTAGACATCCATAGACTAAATCATAATTTAATATGTTCACTAACTCGATTAAATATTGCAGCATCCATGCCCGATTGGTTAAATTGGGCTTTCTGGATTTCCCCGCTATCGTATGGCCAGATAGGATTCACTGTAAATGAATTTCTGGCACCAAGATGGCAAAGGGTGAGTTCATATTTGTATGGTTTCATGATGCAGCGTAACAAAATATATTTTTGGTTTTTGTATACCCAATATATTTGGGGAGTGTAGTAGTCACATGTTATGGGTCTTATATAACTTTTCCATTTGATTTTTTTGTATTGTTACATATGTTTCGTCATTCGCATTGACATCAGGAAAATGAACTTGTGCTAATGCATGTTTATAAATATTTTTGCTTGCACAAAAGGAGCTGCCTGGGAATACAACGATCGGGCATCGAACGCTAGAGAATCGTGGGCTAAACTATGGTGGAGAGTTCTTTTGGATATCCGCTGCTGCCTTGTTAGGAATAGCATTTCTCTTCAATACCGGATTCACCTTGGCTTTAACCTTTGCAAAGCGTGAGACTCATTCCATTAATTGTCTACTTAGTCGACATAGCACTTTGAATATGTAAATAAATAGAATTTGGTAATAACTAATTTCCAATTATTTGAACCAGCTCTCACTTCCCGCGTCATTATCTCAAGTGAAAAACTCTCTCAGCTACGTGGGACCGCACAACCAGATGACAAACCTCGTCCAGAAGATCATTCCGGAGTTTCCGCCATTGCAAAATCTCATTCGAGTAAGATACTTTCTTTCTTGAATATATACACAACCTTTCATCTTTTGTTTTTATTTCCTTATTTATTTTTATTTTCTTTCGCAGCAAAAATGGTTTTACCCTTTGAGCCACTAAGTCTGGTGTTTCAAGACGTGCAGTATTACGTCGATACCCCTGCGGTAACAAAACAAAAAATTTCCACATTTTTATTTTCTATACTATAACGCATATGTGAATAAATAAGTAAATCGATTTTAAAATCGTGCACACAGGCAATGAAGGAGCGCGGTTTCACCCAGAAGAAGCTTCAGCTGCTCTGTGACATAACCGGCGCATTCAGGCCTGGCGTGCTCACTGCTCTCATGGGTGTTAGTGGTGCCGGAAAAACCACCCTTCTCGACGTGCTTTCCGGCAGGAAAACCACCGGCATTGTCGAGGGTGATATCAAAATCGGAGGGTACCCAAAAGTCCAGAGCACGTTTTCCCGTATTTCCGGCTACTGTGAACAAACCGATATTCACTCTCCCAACATTACAGTCGAGGAGTCCGTCATCTTCTCCGCTTGGCTCCGCCTCAACTCATCCATCGACACAAAAACAAAATATGTACGACAAAATTCTTCATCTNATTATTGATTTTTGTTTGTGGTGGTTTCGTAGGATTTTGTGAGGGAGGTGCTGGAGACGATTGAGCTGGACGAGATAAAAGACGCGTTAGTGGGACTTCCTGGCGTGTATGGGCTGTCAACCGAGCAAAGGAAGCGGCTCACGATTGCAGTGGAGCTTGTGGCTAATCCGTCTATCATTTTCATGGACGAGCCCACGACTGGGCTGGATGCAAGGGCAGCTGCTATTGTTATGCGGGCCGTGAAGAATGTGGCTAACACGGGCCGCACGATTGTCTGCACGATTCACCAGCCGAGCATCGACATATTTGAGGCTTTTGACGAGGTTGGTTTGTTTTCCTTTTTGTTTTTTCTTGTCATAGTGAAAGTTGTCTTAGTCGGTTCAAGGATAGACTTACCGGAGTTTTGAATATAACAGGTGGTGCTGTTGAAGCCTGGGGGCCGGATTATCTACTGTGGGCCTGTGGGTTTGCAGTCATCTAGATTGATAGAATACTTTGAGGTGAGATTAATTGCCTTTTGTGTCTGTGTGTGTGTGTGTGTGGTTTTGTTTGTTTGTAAGCATTTATTTTTCATTTATCAGAACTCAGATTGTTATATATTTTACGTTTTTCTTAACTGTGTTTAGCGTATACCTGGTGTGCCGAAAATCAAAGATAACTACAATCCTGCCACATGGATGATGGAGGTCAGCTCAACTTCCGTGGAAGCTGAACTCGGCATAGACTTTGCCGAAATTTACAAGAATTCTGCTTTGCACGAGTGAGTCCTAGCACCAACGCCATTTGTTATTTTTTCCCATTTTCACGTTTGTCCACTAAGAAAAGTAATTCTCATCTTAAGAATCACCTTTGTGTGTGTGAATGTGTTTTTTCTAAAATTGTCCATTTTTTTCTCCAAATTTGTTAAAGAAATAACTTGGAGCTGGTGAAACAACTGAGCCGACCACCAGCAGGGTCGAAAGACCTGCATTTTCCAACACGTTACGCACAAAATGGGTGGGTCCAATTCAAAACCTGCCTCTGGAAACAGCATTGGTCCTACTGGCGAAGCCCTTCGTACAACCTCATGCGCTCCCTTCATATGCTCTTTGCATCCTTCCTTTACGGTGCCCTCTTCTGGGGTCAGGCGCGAGACGTGTAAGCAAAACCAATAAATAAAATTTGTCTCAACACAAATGCTCATTTGCTCTGCTTTCTCTAACATTTTTCTCCTTCTCTCTGTGCATTTGTTCTATAGGCATAATCAGCAAGGCCTGTTCACTCTGCTTGGATCCATGTACAGCTCCACTCTTTTTTGCGGCATAAACAATGCCTCCTCGATTTTGTCGTACGTCAACATCGAGAGAACTGTAGTTTACAGAGAACAATTTGCGGGCATGTATTCTCCGTGGGCCTATTCAACCGCGCAGGTATGTGTTATTCAAATAAAATTATCCATTGGTTAATAAAATTATCTGCAGCTTTTGAAGCTTTGGTGATTTTTCAGGTGATAGTCGAGATTCCGTACATCTTGGCACAGACAATTGCAATAACGGTCATAACCTATCCAATGATCGGGTACTGCTGGACGGCCTACAAAGTGTTCTGGTTTTTCTACACCATGTTTTGCTCTTTGCTCTATTTCACATACTTGGGGATGATGTTGATAGCCATTACACCAAGCTTCCCAGTAGCCGCCATTTTGCAGTCGTCCTTTTACACACTGCTCAACCTCTTCTCTGGATTCTTGATCCCTCGCCCGGTAATTCATTCTCCAGACTAAAAAAAAAAAAGATAAAAGAAAAAACCTCAAATAATATAGATATTAAAAAGAGTTCATTTTTCATTTTTTTTTTCGCAGCAAATTCCGAAGTGGTGGGTGTGGTTTTACTATATCTCGCCGACTTCATGGTCTCTGAACGGGCTGCTTAATTCGCAGTTTGGTGACGTGGATAGGGAGATAGAGGTGTTTGGACGGCAGAGGCCAATCTCGGATTTTGTGAGCGACTATTTTGGGTACAAACACAGTATGCTGCCTGCAGTTGCTGTGATTTTGATCATGTACCCAATTGCCTTTGCCTCAATATTTACATACTGCATTGCCAAGTGGAACTTTCAGAAAAGATGAAGTGTAAGAGAAGAACACACTTACGTTGATGAATTGTCTTTCGGAGTGATTAAAAGGTTTGTTGTGTATTTAATTTGTGGTTTCTTTTTTCTGTCGGTATTTCTAGTTGTATTTTAGTTCTTAGTCGCATCAAATGTTCTTATAGGGTTTCTGGTTACCAGGCCTTGTAATATATTGATTTTGGTGTAATTAATAAAAATCACAATTGTTATGTAACATACAATACAACTTAAGTTTGGCCTTTTAGATTATTATTATTATTATATTGCCAGGTGTTGGACAAAACATTTATGGTCGATAACGGGACTGGAAAAGAAAAAGAAAAAAAAAACAAAAAAGCAAAACAACTTGAGAGCAGGAAACTATATATTTACTTGGACATAAATGTATTATTATATTTGGGATATGATACTAACATGAAAATATCGACAAAACTATGATCTATTTCCAGTATCATATAATAATTCTAATTAGTAATTTATTAATATTTCAACAATTAATAACTATTAATTATTTAAACATACAGACGATTCCAATGGAAGACTCGATCTTATCGGCGGCGGCTTCAGGCCTTTTACAATTGTATTATACAAGGCTAATTTACATATATACTATATATTTTTAAAACATTTTGCATAAATGTAACCTTTAAAAAAACTTTTAAAACACTTTTATTGTAATATTTACAAATTGTTTCTTCTTTAAGTTTACATTTACTTTATTTATATTTTATAACAGGTTTATATTATCAAATCTAGTGATATGACTAAAAAATTTCTATCTATACCTAAAAAATAAATTATTAATAAACGTCAAATAAACATTGAAATCTTCTACGATATAAATAAATCAAAATGCAATGAAAATATTTCTCCCAAAGACTAAGACACCACCTTGGCCCGCTGCCACCATACCCAAC